CCCCGGGGGCTCAGGCTTGTCTGAACTCGGGGCACGGTTTTCAGAAGAACGGTGGCTTCGAGCTGCCCTCTCTAACTCTGGCTTCCGCAGACCTTGCTTAGGTTCCTCGTCTTTCTTTTTCTTCTTGGCCCCAGACTCCTTCTGGGGGGCTCTCTGAGGCGCCAGCTCCATGGCCTCATAGATGTACGTCAACAGGCCGTGCTCCCCATCCTCCCCGTTCTCCGGGACAGCCTCCCCGTTGGTGGTCACCTCTCCGGGCACAAAGCTGTTGATCAGCCCCAAACCGGGGTGCCCACCAGGCTCGGTCTCTTCCACCTGCCACGCCGCCGGGGTCCCGTCCTCAGCCTCCTCGGTCGGGCCCGGGGGCACAGGCACCTCAGCCCCGCTCAGCCGCCGCTTCCGCTGGAAGCGGTCGGGGCTGAGCTTCCGCAGGGTGTCGGCATCTCCCGCCACCTCCTTCCTGGGCTTCCAGCTCTGCTCGATCTCCCGCAACTTTGCCGCAGCCTTGCGCTTCAGCTTGGCGAACCAGCGCTGGTGGATCTTGTACTCGGTCATGGTGCCAACCTCCAGGACCCCCGAGCAGGACACGATGCCCTTGGTGTTCCGGGCAGACGCCTGGTAGATGGCCGCATCTTCTTCTTGACACCTAGACGTAGGAACAGGAGATGCCGACCTGGCCCTCCTGCCAGGCGAGAGGCCCCACGCCCCACAGCCAGCGCCTCCCGGAGCTGAGCACACTGCCCCGCCCCCCACGGGTCCCACCCTGAGCGCCACCCGCCCCCACCCAGACATCACCGTGTCATCCAACGTACAGATGGGGAAACCGAGGCCGGCACCAGGGAGGGAGCTGGCCCAGGTCATGCTGTTCCGGGAGGGGATTAGACTTGGGGCCTAGGAGAGCTCCCTTCAGAAGCAGGTGACCCGCATAGCCCCCTTGTGAAGTAAGGATGACACAGGAGCCTTTTTTTGGCAGCTGACCTCATGGAAAATGTTTCTACGGGGCAGGACCTCCTCTGGTTGTGCTCCACTCTCGGGCTGTCAGAAACGCTCCCACCCCGGCCAGAGGGGATCCCAGGCACCGGCGGGCAGACACGCCTCGCCAGCAGCGGGTTCGACTCCGCAGCAGAAACCACCCCCACCCTCCTCCACCCCTGGACCCCACCTGGGCATCTGCGTCCCGGTGGGCCCACTTCTGACGGGGCCACGGGACCCTCAGGCGACCAGAGAGGCCGCTTTCCCCTCACCTGTAGAGCTGCAGCGTGTGACGGTTGCCCTGATGCATGATCTCGTATTTCGGCAAGCCACAGTAGCGGTCTAGCTGGACATCATCCTTGTACCAGGTCACCTCCGGCTCTGGGTATCCTACGAAGGGGGCAGGAGACCGGGTTGCGGGAAGACCAGCTCCAAAGCAGCGGAAGGGGAGCGCAGAATGCCCCGGCTTCCCCGGACCACCGGAAGCGCCTGGGCTGGCCCGCCTGCCCCACCCGCCGGAAGAGCAGGGCTATCATTTGGCTCAACTCATTTGCAGAAGCCAGGCCACGTCAGGGCTGAAAACTGTGCCCCCTTCAGCAGCTGGAAGGCAGAGAGGGAGGAGAAACTTCCTCGCTTCCTGGTAAGAAGGGAAGCAAGAAGTTTCCAGAAAGCCTTGGCTGGTAGAAATAAGCCTCCTTCCTTCAGCGTCCTGTTCCACATCCTCAACCGTGGTCACAGTTCTATCCTCAGAGACGCCCCCGCCAGTACCCCAACACCAAGAGCCCTCCTACTTCCTGCCCAGGTTGCCGAGCTGCTGGTATTATTTGATGACATGGCTAAAACACACCCATCCACCCATCCATCCACTCATCTATCATCCATCCATCCCTAACTCCCTACCCGCTCCCACTGCCGTGAGGCCGACCAAGGTGTCTCCCCAGCCCCTCTCCCGGGGGGTGCTTCTGGGAGAGCTTCCAACCGTCAGAGTCACGGTCCCTGCCTCCATCCCCACGTGGCTGAGGGGTCCGGTGATGGACACCAATCAGCTAATCCAATCCAGTTACTTGACCTAGGTTTTAGGAATCAAGACCTCGAGACACTCTACCCTTGGGTCTGGAACTGTAACCTCAAAGGAGGGGGCAGCCCTGTTGTCCTCACGGACCAGCCTAGAGCAAGACGGAAAGATGAAGCTCGTATTCAGAACAGAATAAGAGATCAGAGACAGACAGACAGTCTCAACACCCTTCCACATATTGAGCCCACGCCTCGCGTGGACACAGCTGCACTCCTCAGTCCCACAAGAAGCCCATCTAGCCTTCCCGTGAACTCGGCTTCATTTTTTTTTTTTTTTAATTTTCTTTAAAGAGACAGAGTGTGAGTGGGGAAGGGGCAGAGAGAGAGAGGGAGACACAGAATCTGAAACAGACTCCAGGCTCCAAGCTGTCAGCACAGAGCCTGAGACGGGGCTTGAACCCACGAACCGAGAGATCATGACCTGAGCCAAAGTCAGACGCTTAAAAAACTGAGCCACCAGGCGCCCCGCCTGCTTCATTTCTTAAGCTGACGCCAAGTGATTTCCACTATCTATGAGAACTCAGAGACCCCTAACACACACGCCCTCCAACATATGTATTCTGTGTGTGCTGACTGCCAAGCAAGGATTATAAAGATATAGAACGTCACCACCAGGGTCTCTGCTCTCCGGGAACCCACCGAACAGTAGAAAAGATCACACGGGGCTCCCCTGCTCTGTCTGCCCTGCCGTCTCCGGGTAAACTGCCCACACTCCTACCTCCAGCCGACCCCACTGGATCCCATCTCCTCCTGCCTCGTCAAGGACATCTCTCCAACAGTCGCTCCTGCCCCCTCCCGTGTCATCGAACCATTCCCCTCCACTACATGACTCCCGGAGGCATGCAAGCCTGCTGTATGGGTTTCACAGAAAAGTGCTTCGGAAGTGCCATCCGCACTCTGTCTCCTCTCCCTCCCCACCCAGTTGGGCTTCTGTGCTCCCAGGCAGCAGCAGAACTGTTCCTGTCGAGGTCGCTCACGACTCACACATTGGCCAAATCTACGGGCAATTCTTTTTTTTTTTTTTTTAATGTTTATTTATTTTTGAGAGAGAGAGAGCAGGGGAGGGGTAGAGAGGGAGACACAGAATCCGAAGCAGGGTCCAGGCTCTGAGCTGTCGGCACAGAGCCCAAAGCGGGGCTTGAACTCATGAACCGTGAGATGGCGACCTGAGCCGAAGTCGGACGCTGAACCGACTGAGCCTCCCAGCCGCCCCCAACTGGCAATTCTCGTGCCTCATCTACCGAATCTGTCAGCATTGCACCCCACCCCCCACCCCGCTCCATTTCCTGAAAACTTTTCCTCACTCTTATAGAGTGCTCTTCCTCTTTCCTCGTCTGTCTCTTCTCCTAGACCCATGTCCCATGAGGGCAGGAATCCTATCCTCTTTACTGCTATATCACCGCCACCTAAGATCGTGCCTGGCACGTAGTAGTTACTTAATAAAACCCTGCTGGATGAGTGAGTAAAGGAGTGAGTAAGGACACGAGCAAACAAACAAGCAAGGGACAGATGGGGAGGGTGTGCCTGACGTAGGAACCGTAACAGTACGGTGTGGGGGTGGAAAGCAGAGGACACGCCGGGGAACGTACAGGAACAGGGAGCAAGGGAGGCGAGGCGGCAGCTGAGGCGGCCAGGAACAAACTCTGGGCAACCCTGACTGTAAAGTGAACCCCATGTTTCCACTGTGAGCTAAAGTCCCTGGTTACATCACCGCGTGTGGCCGGGGCCAGCACAGGTGTCCTCACCATCCTGTGTGATGATCTCATCCCTCCGAGAGCCCGGCTCAGAGCCTCCCTGCCCCATGATCTGCCCAGTAGGGCCTCAGAGTCCAGGGCACCTGAGTCCAGTCAAGCTGGGGCAAGGAGGGAGATACTGAATGGGACTCACAGCCCGAAGGCGGAGGCCTCAGCCCCCGTGCCATCCTCGGGGTGCCTCTTCGAAACACGGGGGCCAACCTGACAGCTTAGGGCTCCGTGGCAACAACGGGTTTGGACGGAAAACATCTCCTTGTCCCCTGGATGATACGAACTGTGTTCCAAAACACACAAAGGCAGGAAAGGTCCTTCCTTCCGAGCGGCACACGCGTGTGCCCACGGGCAGGCATGCGCACACGGATACAAGCTGTAGCCAGGGACACGCCCTCCCCACCCCCGCCCCCCTCCCCGTGGTGCTGCAGGCCGGGACCTCTGCCTCACAGCCGGCAGGCCCGAGTCTGGAACACCAGCCCAGGGACTTGCAACCTTGTCCCCACCATCCCCAGTTTGAGAAGCTCAGATTGAAGAGAGAAATAACGACAGATGTCAATGTAGAGTTTTCAAAGAGCTTTCAAATGTAGTTTCGTTTGGCCCTCCCGTGAAAACAACTGCCAAGCATTTATTGAGGACTTTCTCTGTGCCAGCTACTGAGCTGAACGTTCTTCATGCGTCATCTCGTCGGATCCTACACAGATCCTACGGGAACGTACTGTTATTAATCCCAGGTGTAAAAGATGAGGAAATCCAGGCCCACGAAATTAAGGCTTCTGCCCCAAACCATCCAGCTGATACGCAGAAGACCCAAATTCAAATCCCTCTTTTCTACAAAACAGGCAGGTCAGGTGTTTCAACCCCTGTTTTCCACAAGAGGAAGGTGAGGCTCTGGGAAGCAAAGGAACTTAGCCAGGGTCACAAAGTTGGCACATGACAAGGCACATGGCTTTTCCATTTCCTTCTACCAGTGCCCTTTCCAGTGAGGACTGCGGGACCAATATGTAAGTGTTTATCCCCGTTAGTCATTACACTGGACTCATTTCTCTACGAAAGGGCCTTTTTTCAGGAACGTGGTTCTGTCTAAAGGCTCGGTCTTCTTCCTCCTCCTGCCCCAACGTCTGTGCATGCACACACACACACACACACACCAACATAAAATCCACAGAGTCGGGGCGCCTGGGTGGCTCAGTTGGTTAAGCACCTGACTTCGGCTCAGGTCAAGATCTCACGGTCAGTGAGTTCGAGCCCCGTGTGGGGCTCTGTGCTGACAGCTCAGACGACGATGGACAACCTCAAGGACACCAGCATTCTGGCCAGAGGGGTCCTGGGGGAGACAGCAGCCAGAAGGCCGAGTCAAGGTGAGCTAACCCCCCATACGCCCACTCTGAGGGGGAAGAGCCTCAGGGCTGTCCATCCCTTCTCCAGGACCCCGAGGGCTTCCCTCAGAGCTCCACAAGCAGAACAACCGGCACAGACCCCTCTCCCTCGCGTGCTGTTAGGTTCGGACCCACCGGAAAGTATCACCTGTCCCTGGCAGGGCACTGGTGGGACTGACTCATCACCACCTAGCTCAGGGGATGCTAGCAGCAGGCTGGGAGGCAGACAAGCACGTGTGGTCACTCCTTCCCCACACACACCAGCCAGGAGCACCACACGAGTCCCACAGGGAGGCCAGTCTCAGCCATAGGTCTATCCACCATCTACCTCTCCAGGTTGGGAGACCCAGCCCCTGTCTCCTTTGTTCTCTGATTTTTCTGCATCCCCCTTTGCCCTCCCCCTTTCTTCCCCATACAGTCCACATTTTCTCCTTGCTCACTGGAAATGGCTTACTTACTACGGTGATCGCAGAGACCCCTTCCCTAATCTGCTACATAAAACTCAGGTGACCTGAGATTGCTTGGGGCGGGGGGGGGGG